GAGGCCTCTTCGGTCAAGATAAGTTGTCACGACCTCTATTCACCCTCACACAGCCACTGCACGAAAGCACACGCGTCCAAGCCCCAAGTCCTGCTCGCGTAGGATTTTGGTGGTGCGCGTCCCACAAACAAGAAACATCCTCACGCGCACCATCCAGCGCAACTCTGCGGCGCGCAGCGTTTTGTACAGACCGACGAAAACGGAAACCGCGAGTCGCGAAAGACACTGCCACACGCAGAAACACACACACACACAACTTCACACACACACACACACACACAGAGCAACCCACACGCACGCACACACACACACGGTCGCAACACTCGGTGGTACCCGGGGGCAGTAAAACTCATACTCATATCCCTTCGCGCCCCCACATGCACCCGGCCCCGGGAGGGTTTTAATACACGCGCTATAAAATTTAATGATCGCAGCCTGCGTCTTTGGCATCGCGATTTCAGCCGTTTCAGCCGCGGCGCGTCTGCGCGGAGCTGGCGTGGCGTTCCCCCCGCCTCCGCTTCAGCCGCGGCCGCGACGAGCTTTGGCCGCGATGCTGGAAACACAGCGGCGGCGGGGCAGCTTCAGCTAATTAATGCATCGGTCGTGGACCTGACGTACTCACGGGGACGCTATCACTCGCAATTAGACTCGCAGGTTATTCTCCACATTTTATTGGCTCGGGTCCGCATCCCGGACAACCACCGTGGGATGTGTGCTGGTGCTGCTCCAGCTATCCGCGAGACACACAGACACGCACTGATTTCCATTCCAAGTTTGATCCAGATTGTGACCAGCCTTCACATACACACACGCACGCTAGCCGACACAAACACACACACACACACGCGACCGCGCACACTTTCTAAAGCAGTCACTAGTTACTTGAGTTCCACACTTCCAGAGTCCGGCACATTTTGGTGACCGCTGGCCGGCGGCGGTGGAGGCCGGTCTCATATGTGCACCACTACGTAGGAGTACGTGCAGCAGCCCGTAGTGGCTGAGCTTTAGTCTTTGTGCTAAAATTCTCAAATGTAAAGGTTAAAGGAATATAGTAATAGTAATGTACAGATGGAAGGCCAGGGAAGAACAGGAAAAGGGGGGGGGCACTAGAAAATTTAAAAATGACCAAAACAAGTTTGTTTTTAGATTTTTCGATGACATTTTTAGTTTTCAGTAATTGGAAGTGGAAGTGTGATGACTTTTGACCTCTACAAATGAATGCTGTTAGCAGATTATACTTACAATGTAACAAACAGTAGAACAAACAAATATCATATAACTCTGGGTATGGCAAACCCTTGTCACAATCAGCTA